AAAACCATGAGAATGGTGGTGCGTATTTTGGCCCAGCAATTCGCTTGCACATTCTTCCACACATAGATATGCTTTTACTTTCCCAATTCGGTTTCTTTTTAACAGTCTACCGGGTAGCCTAGATGGACATAGCATGAGGTTTCTAGGGGATTGTGGGTACGGGCGGTTTCCCAAAAACCGCTTGGGTAGTCCGTTCGGGCTTGTTTCTTCCAGCACTTTGGCTCAATGGCCTAACCACAAGGCAGTCCGGGCAAGCGAAGTTATTCAATGGCGGTTCACGGTCGCCCTTTCACACTACCGACAGTGACTTGCAACATTTTATAAAGCGGTAAGTGCGCCAGACCTAGGCCCTCCGCGCCCTGGCAGCACTATCACTGCTGGTCCGCGACTGCCTATTTGCCAGACCCAGGAGCCTACTTATTTCCCAGCGAACCTTTTCTGAAGGCCGTTCCACTATCTGTCGCCTGTTGACGCGCCAAGTAGCCAGCAACTAGACTAACGGGTAACCCGAGAAAGACAAGTGAAGTAGTTTAGACACCTTCGACATCAGCCTGACAAGCTCGGTGTTACTTACCTCGATGCGACACCGTTCCGTGATTGGAGACGTCGAAGGAGGGTTCAGCTCAAAACCCGGCTAAACTCAGTCCGTCAGGATACGAAAGTGGTGCTTGGACCTTCGGTATTGGGCCTCCGGCGTTGGCGAAGAGAACGGACTGAACTGTGCAGGTCTGCTGCCACGTATCGTCGCGCGTGAAGAAGTATCCTCCGGGACATAATTGAGACCGGCTAGACCAGTCATGACCGTAGCCGTAAAAAGTAAAAGTAGACTAGATGGCAGCCCGGTGGTCCTGACCAAGTTAAGTGCACTGGCTAGAACATGACCAATTTTCCTACATCTTTCACACAGTTTAGGATTTCAACCTTGAAAATTTGGGGGTCTTGTATACCAGGTACTGAATGCGTAATGTTAGTATCTGCTGGTGTATCGCCGTTGAGTTGTGCTGCAAAATCGATGAGATGAATGTCTGCAATGTTTACGTACGGTTGATTCCCTATTGGTGAGTTAGATATTGCGGGTTACTCTGCCGAGAGTAGTGGAGTTATGCTCAAATTTATTAACTTTCTAGCCGAATCCGAAGGGATTTGTCCTCAGGACTTTGGTCCGAGTCCACACTTACATATTCGGTAAAATTTGCAAACTGAACAAGGAATGACTCT